TGGTGGAGCCAATACAATTTTCAGGAAGATCAGACAGGGTATTTCCCACAAAGGATGGAAAGCATCACAAACCCTCACTACCTTCCCCTCTACAAAGGAACGCCCACAGCACCAGCAACCATGGCTTGAGAGGAAGCTTTGGATTGGGGGAGAGAGAGAGAGAGAGACTCTTCATATCTTCCTCCATTGTTCTCTGCAGAACTGGAGTGTAGCCCAGTCTAGCTAATGGCTGTGTTGGTAATTCGTTTAGAATGCCCCATTCTGCTGGAATGCACAAAGGCCTTATTATCATTACGGAAAGAACAATGCGTGCAACATTTGAAATTGTTAGTAAAAGCTAGCATAGTGTAGGAGCTGGTGTGTTGGAGATAGCTGTGTTTTTATAATTGGTTTAATTCTTTGAATTTTGCCATTGGCTTTTATTTGTTTGTGAACCGTCTTGATATTTCTTCTTGAAATGAAAGACAGTATATAAATAAAAAGCCGTTCAGAAACCAAGGTACACCTGTAATCTGATTAGCCAATCAAGGAAGAGACAAAAGTCATAAAACTCATTGAGAGTGAATCCACCAGAACAGCTCACAAAATGAATAAATGAAGCATATGATAAATCTGACTAAGTCAAAATGTGCTTACAATGTTGTTTCCAGCTGTCTGGAGTTATTATATCCATGCCAGATGCCTCAGGGTTTGTCATCATCACAGTTTTTGTTCTGCTAGCCCCTAGATCTCAAATGAAAAAGGAGACATAACATAACATAACCTCATCCATTTCCCTATCTCTTTTGCATTTCTTTAGGACATTGTATTCACATAAAGGTAAAGGTAAAGGTACCCCTGCCCGTACGGGCCAGTCTTGACAGACTCTAGGGTTGTGCGCTCATCTCACTCTAGAGGCCGGGAGCCAGCACTGTAAGCAGACACTTCCGGGTCACATGGCCAGCGTGACGAAGCTGCTCCGGCGAACCGGCACCAGAGCAGCACACGGAACGCCGTTTACCTTCCCGCTATTAAGCGGTACCTATTTATCTACTTGCACTTAAGGGTGCTTTCGAACTGCTAGATGGGCAGGAGCTGGGACCGAACGACGGGAGCTCACCCCGCCGCGGGGATTCGAACCGTCGACCATGCGATCGGCAAGTCCTAGGCACTGAGGTTTTACCCACAGCACCACCCACGTCCCTTCACATAGAGGTTGCCTAATCAAAACTTTGCATAGAATGGATGCCTTGAAGTTATAGTACCTGTTCTAGACCAAGGGAGGGCTACCTTTAGTCTTATTTGATCTACACTTTCTTTTATTTTTTTAGTGGCATCTCCATGGTCCACCAACCACCCTTCCCTGGTAGTACAAATACAATTGTTGTTGTTGTTACTCAATTTGTTGCCCTTTCATAACACCCCAAACCAGCTGCCTGAGGCAGCTGCTTCACCCTGCCTTATGTATTTCTGACTGGTGGTGGTATAAATTTCATTTATTACATGTTGCATGTTTGGATTGAAATATGGGGTAATAATGGCTTTTTGTCTCAACTAGATGTGACATTGGAAAATCTGTGATCACATCTTTCACAGATTCCCTTGCTGGGATCAAATCAAGGCGAAGATTCCTCCAGCTCTCTCTCTTGCGCTGGTTTCCTGATCTGAATTGCCACCATATGAGCACCTGAAGTAGTTTTGTATCTGTAGGAGAATTGAGTCTGAGAAAATTTACCAGGAGGGAAAGGTTGACCTGTAAAGCCATGGTGCTATTCTAATTCAGGCCCCATCCCCAGCCACTTTTACCATGGGTGTGGGGACTGTGGAAGACCTGATTTCAGATCTCTCTCCAGTGTTCTGTGTGTGGCTCTGAGTGGCAAACTTTCATTTATGCATCGCCGCAGCTCGATACTTGAGCCTAGTACACGTCTGATTCTTTCCAGCAGAGGGCTGTAGTTTCTCAGAAGAGAACAAAAGGAGCTAAGTAATTAAAGGAGTTAAAATTAAATTACAGTACTTAGTCTGCACTATTTTATAAACAATAATAATAATCTCCTGTGCCAAGAGAAAATATATGAAATACAAACTTCTGAACTATTAGCAATCCAACATTCAAGTCCTAAAGACATCACCTGGATGCAAGTCCTAATTTCAACAGACTTTACTTCCAGACAAATTTGCTTAAAAGACTGAGGTTAATTCCTTCAGTGGCTCAGAACTGCAATAATTCAAAGACCCTGAGATCATCCTCTGAGGCAGTTCTTTGTGTGCCTCTTCCACAAGAGGTTGGAAACACAAAAACGGGCCTTTTCTGCAGTGGCTTCCTGTTTGTGGAATGCTCTCCCGAGGGAGGTTCAGCTGATGCCTTCATTATACACCTCTGGGCATCAGCCAAAAACTTTCCTCTTCTCCCAGTCCTTTGGCTGATTAACATTAGCTGCCCTTTTAAATGTGTTGTGTGAGGGTGGATTATTGGTTTGTGTTTGTTTTTATTATGTACTTTGTTTCTGAAATTTACAGGAAATGTGTTTATGATTTGAGCTGCAGGCTCTGAACTTAAGCAGATTTACATGGAACAAAGTTCCACTGAAATCCATAAAACTCATTGCCTAGTAAATGTATTTAGAATTGTGGGGCAAGTCAGTGGAAATATAGTGGAGTATATGGTTTACACATGGAGTATATCCACATTCCTACATCCTGACTCAGAAAGCATACCTTGAGCATCGTAGGAGACTCTTGCATGCAATGTCTTTGTGCTTTTGGAAATTATATGCATAAATTGGGTTGGGTGTAGATGCACATTGAGACATAAGGCTCACTCATACTTAGCATGTGGTGTGGGATGCACATTTTCAACTATCTTGTAATGCATATGGGAAGCTGCTTTGCGATCTGCTCCCTCATTGAAGAACAGAAGTTGAAAACACATTTGCAAAATGCAATTAACATTGATGCACTAATCAAGAGCCCTGTCTTCATGCTAGCTTCACCCATAACTTGCATGTCTTTAGCAGAAGCTGATAACAGATTCTGCATGAGTACATTTGCATGTGCCCAGGGGCCTTGAGTAAATCAGAGACAGAAAGATATTGAGTGGAAAGAAGTGACCATTTTAAACAGCAGCAGTGGTTTGAATAAAGCAGGGATGGAATAACAATGTGAGGGGGAAAGTGCTGGTTTAAAACAATGATGGAAGTTTGAGTAGAGCGTAGGGACTGACCTGAGTGGAGAAAACTGGAAGTTTAAAACAAGGTTTCAGTACCATGAGAAGGGAGTTTGGAAAGGCTATGTTGTGCAATTGCATGCTGTGAGCAGAGGGAACAGACTGAGATAACTTTGTAATGCATCATCCTCTGCTTTATCTTAGTGTGCCCAATTTGAACTGTTTGTCTTTCCTCTTTTCTGAGTCTGCTAGCAATCAGAATCTGTGTATGAGGGAAGCAGAGAGCCTGAGGGCGTCTTGATTGGGCTGAGCTGCTATTCATGCTGCCTGCAATAACAATCAGTTACTCATGCTGTTATAGCCCTAGGACAGTATGCCACCCCACTGTGGAGTTTGTTTTGTGACACCCTTCCCTCCAGATTAAGTTTATGGAGTTCATGTTACTAGTATTCTGAAAAATTGAAGTAAAAATGGCAAGAATACACCGATGCTAATTTTCATGCGGCCCCTCTACATGTGTGAGGCCTGGGTCAATTGCCCCAGCTAGTCCCTCTTTTAAAAGTGTCTGATCTATGTATTTAAAAGCCTGAAGAAGAGGTTGTTGCAAGGCTCACACTAGATTTAGAGTCCCTAAGTAAGAAATGCCTCATACAAGATTGTGGAAGGAACTGTGGCATCCGTTATCCATCTGGTAGGAGCTGGAAGTAGCAGGGAAGCTGCTAGAAGTTGTTCCCAGTCTGCAGAATAATTTTAACTGATAATCATTAAAAAACCCAAAACTTTGTTACTCACAAAATATACCCGGAGAGGTGAAACATGTTTCAGTTTTGGTACTGAAATCATGCAACTAGAAAAGTAATCCAGACATTATTTTGAAAATATTCTTTCTCTTCAGTCACAGTGGGTAAGCCTCCACATTATTTTTTTATTTATTAACAGTATTTATAGGGCACCTTATAACATAATCCCCAAAGGTAACTAGAAATAAAGCAAACCAGAATGAAAACAAGTTAATGTACTATACAGCATAAAAAAACACAAGCCTCAAAGGGTACAACCTAAAGTTAAAAGATGTGGGAATATATATACATACAGTAAAGGTATTCCTCTGACAGTTAAACAACACCAAAGTCAGTGGCCAGGCAAGCCCCTGTGGAGAGGGCATTAATAACTTATTAAAAGCGATGAGCTGGCACTTTTATGATGCGTAAAGTAACCAGATGATTTGGGCAACCCACCTGTGACTGATGCATGTGCACATTGTGTGCCTAATACCACATGGGCTATGGAACCTAACTCTTGTTTGTTTTGAAGGCTAGGCTGCCATGACGGTGCATTGCAAAAAAAAAAAAAAGGGGGGGGGAGTACTGTGTAAATTTGGCCAGGGGGTTGGCAAAATGGAGGGGATCCGTTAACAGGGCATGTAATCCAGAGCCTGAGGTAAGATTTAGAACAGCGCTTCTCTCTTTCTGCCTTCCCTGGCACATTCTGTACCCACAGACATCACCCTCTGCGAGGGAAACACCCTTCTCTCGCCTATCCAACCTGTGACTCAGCTGAGGCCGTCCTCGGATTTCTTTCCACTGAGCAACCCACCCACAGCTTCGCCCAACTCCTTCCCTCTAGTGCCTGCTTGACAAGGGTGTGGGCCTGTCTGAAACGGTCGCCCTCGTAGCCCCCCACAAACGTTGCCCGAGGGAGCTCGCGGACAAAAAGACCCTACCCACCCACCGACCCAGGCCTCACAAGCTGCCGCGGGGGTGGCGGCGGCTGCGGTGCGGCGATGCCCGCACGCGGCCTTGCTCCTGCCCCGCGGCGGCCGAGGGTGGGGATGCCCTGTGGGCGTGAAGGGCGGGCGGGGTGGAGCCAGACGCTCGGGGGAGAGAAGCTGCCGCCTCCGCTTTTCCACAAGGAGCGCCTTTGACTGCCCGAGCAAGGCGCTCTCCTCCCTGCCGCCGCCGCTGAAAGGATAGGCAAACGCTGCGCAGGGAAGGAGGGGAAGACGAGGGAGAAGGCGAAAGAGGCGCGAAGCGGCATCTTCAGGCAAAGCGGCCCATTCCCGGCGCGGGATGCTGCGGTTGCCGGACGCCGCTCCTGCGGCTCGCAGGGGCGCTCGGCTGCCCGCCGCCGTTGGGCTCACTTTGTGCCTCCTCTGGGCAACTTCGTGGGCCGAAGCTGCTGGGTAGGAACTGGAAGTGGGTGGGGAGAAGATGGACGGAGTGGGTGGGAAAGGCTTGCAGAAATAAGGGAAACGGTTAGTGCCCGCTCGCCTCCTCCTGCCCTGTCTCACGGAAGGCCAGATTTTGCACTCATGGGCATTTCAGAATCGGGAGCCGAGGCAAATCTTGCAAGAGTGCCGAGTGTCAGACTGCAGATCACCCACAGCTCAGTTGCACACTCAGTAGTTGTTGGGTTGTTGTTGTTTTTTTTTGGGGGGGTGTCAAACCACCTACTTTGCCCGCAGCTCCTCAGTTCATAATTGCGGGGGCAATTCTTATGGGGTTCATTGGGGCTTACTCCCAGGTAAGCTAGTGTATACGATTCTAGCCTGTCACTACAAGAGCAGAAGATCACTTTGCCTGAATGCGCTTTCTATGAAAACTGAAAGGATGTATGTATGTGGAGTCAGAGGTCTGAGAAAGAAGATGATTAGGAGGTTATTACACTATTTTACCAGTGGCTGGGCAAAGTGTCGTACCCTGTTCCTTTCTTATATTACCATACTTTTTGAGCACAGTGTTTGTTTCTCCTCCGATACTTGTGAGGCTTCCGGAGCTTTATTTAGCAGTAATTTTCCACCAGTTAGGACTTGTATTCTCCCCCCCCACCTTGCAACTTGGCTGAATCCACATATGAATCATGCCAGAGATTATTTAGGAAGCTGGCACATACAGAGTCAGACCATTGGCCCACCTAGTGCAGTATAGTCCATACTGACTGGCAGAGGATCTACAGAGTTTCAGATGGGACACACTACCTGGAGAAGTCAAAGATTGAATCAGGAACCATCTACATGCAAAGGAGAAGCTTTGCCACTGAGTTGCAGCCTTGATGTTGGAGTAGTGAAAGGAGTATCAGACCTTGAGTGTAATCTATTTTTTCCCTTCTTTTAGGCCCACATACCTGTTAGCAGCTGTTAAGAGCATCAGGCCTGGAGCAAATTTGACTATTGGAGTAGCTATGCTGAAAAAGAGCCCACAAAAGGTTACAGTAAAAGCCGAAGTGGTCTATGCAAATAACACTGTACTACGTGGGGAAGCTGTCTTTAAAAGAGGTGAGATAACTTTATTGGCCTAAAAATAATGATGCATATTCTGTCTGTAGTACTTTTTGATTGCAAGAAAGCCCCGAGGGTGGCTATACAGAAGTAAACACTCTGTTAAATGGGGTTTGCTTCCCAGCAAGTGGGTTTAGAATTGTAGCCTTAATGAGGGAATTTAAGACTATCATTGGTGAGCTGAATTCGGAACAGATATATTATCTGCTTTATGCAGAAGTTCCGCAGGGGGGAAATAAGTATGATGAGCTACATAGATTTAAATGTGAGATTATTTGCTGAACTGTGGTTTAAATGTACTGTATAACCATTTATGTGCTCTGTTTGCTTCACCTTTGCTTGTGGTTGCCATTTCCCCCCAGAATCTGCCCCTCTGCCACCTCATTTTAAAAATGTAATCCTCAGTGAGATCATTTTTACACATTACAAACCTATGTACTCATGAAGAGAGTTTTGTTTTTGTTTTTACTGTTTTACTGTTAAGAGAAAGAGCAGGTAGGAGCTCTTCCAATTCTGGCAAGGAAGGTGAAAATAGAGTTGAGGAGCTTGGTCATAAATGATTCAGAATTCACCTTTCTGATGTGGTAGGGAGACTTCACTTTTGTTGGATCTACTTTGGTTTCCCCCCCTAGAATCTCAGGATTATACAGACTATCAGTCAGAGCCAGCTGCAAAATACACATGATTATAATGGAAGAACAAGATGCCTCTGAGCATATTCTGAGCCTCAAAAATAGTTTTTAGTACCAGAACTGAACTGAGTTCGTGGTCTGCACACACATGCTCTGTGTTTATTCTGAGGTAGGAGCCCAGGAATGGTTGCTGTGTTTTTCAGGAGCATTTTAAGGGCCCTGCAGGTCACTGGGTTAACATCACAAAACATCTGAAATGCTGCCATAGCATACCTATTGCACTGTTCTTTTCCAAGTTTCTTTCAATAGCATGATGTATATTTATCACATTTTGTTTTGTCATTGCTTCAGAAAGCTCAGGTTACCCCATTTTTATATTCACAATTTTTAAAGGACACCTTTAAGGTTTAAAAAAACCCCTCTCTCAAAACAACTTACAAAAAAGTGCAATATGATACAGCTATGTAAATAAAATCAGTAAGAATAAAAAGTAATAATGCAATAACGTATCAGCCCCTAAAATGCTAAAATAAAGTACCTGACTACAACCAAATCAGTTAATAGAATAAAGTAGCTCTGGAAAACTCATTTGAAAGCTAGTGAACCTTTAGGGCTTTCATGAGCATCTGGAGTGATGGAACTTGTTACGAGTGAATGTAGCAATGTGCCCCAGAGATGTTGGGCCGTTGTAGAAAAGGCTCTCTCCCTGAAAAAAGCCAATTCTGAAAGAAAATTACTATCCTTATAACAATCTTGAGGGATAGTGACTGCCCAAAGGGAACTAGTGAACTAAGCAAGGATTTCAATCCCATAGGCAGGATTCAGTTATTGAGCATTACCAGTGGAAGCTCATGCAAAGACTTTCATTAGTGTAAGAGGACTTTCTCCCCTCTCCCACCACATGTGTCCTCTGCTTCTCCAATTGGCTCATGGGGGTGGTGTTGGGAGAACCTTTTCCCCAAGTCTCTCAAGTCAAAGTCTGGCACTGTGTCAACAACATTTCAATGTCTGTCTTCCACATATTTTTATTTATTTCATTTCCAAACCACCTTTCATCTGAAGATCACACAGTGGTTTACAAAATAAAAACACATGAAATATATAAAAACACATACAATGGTACCTTGGTTTAAGAACAGCTTAGTTTATGAACAATTTGGATTAAGAATGCTGCAAACCCAGACGTACCATAGGTGTTTTGGTTTGTGAATTTTGCCTTGGAATAAGAACATGTTTCACTTCCTATTGAGTGTGTTCCATTTTTAAATTGAGTCTCCCGCTGCTATGGGAAAGCAAGCCTTGGTTTAAGAACGGACTTCCAGAATGGATTAAGTTCGTAAACCAAGGTACCACTGTATATAGACTGGAGTGGGATAGCTGTGCTGCTGTTTCCCTTAAAAACACATTGGTGTGTTCTAGAGCATGAAAGGATGTCTTGTAAGCAAGAAATGGTGAGTCCTACAGGCTACCGTATTTTTCGCTCTATAACACGCACCTGACCATAACACGCACATCGTTTTTAGAGGAGGAAAACAAGGGAAAAAACATTCTGAATGAAACAGTGGATGTATCATTTTTGTGCTTCATGCTGTGGCCACAGACATGTGATCTGATGGTGAATTTGGGGTGACCCAATGCAAAAATCCTGAGAATTCCTGTGGATCCATGCTTTGTAACCACGGTTTTGCACCACTGCAGCCCCAGGCAACAGTGGGTGCGTGATTTTTTTGGTGCAGGCTGTAGCCATGGACATGCTATGTGATCTGATGGTGAATTTGGGGTGACCCAATGCAAAGATCCTGAGAATCCCTGTGGACCCATGCTTTGTAACCACATTTTTGCACCATTGCAGCCCCAGGCAACAGTGGGTGCGTGCTTTTTTTGGTGCAGGCTGTAGCCATGGACATGCTATGTGATCTGATGGTGAATTTGGGGTGACCCAATGCAAATATCCTGAGGATCCATGTGGATCCATGCTTTTTAACCACGTTTTGCACCATTGCAGCCCCAGGCAACAATGGGTGCGTGATTTTGGGGGGGCAGGCTGTAGCCATGGACATGCTATGTGATCTGATGGTGAATTTGGGGTGACCCAATGCAAAGATCCTGAGGATCCATGTTGATCTATGCTTTGTAACCACATTTTAAGTGGGGAGCGAAGGAAAAACAAAGAAGGGACATGAGAGGGGTGTGCAGAGAAGCAGCTGGCTAAGAATGCTGGAGAGGGATTTAACGGGTGGGAGGAAAGAAAGGCAAAAGTTCCCCCCCAAGCCAGCCATCTCTCTCTCTCCCTCCCTCCCTCCCTCCCCCCTCTCTCTCCCTCCCCACCCCCCCTCTCTCTCCCTCCCCCCTCTCCCTCTCCCTCCCCTACTCTCTCTCCCTCTCCCCCAGCAGCACCTGAGCACAGAGAGGAATTAGAAAGAACGACACTCTGCTTGCCTGGAGGGGAGGGGCTTTCCCTGCTCTTTGTTCCGTTTCAGCAAACACAGCAAGGAAACAGAGGAGGGTGGGCAGTAAGACCCTGAGGCAGAATGCAGGAAAGCAGCCACTTCCTCTTTTCAGGTTTCCCTTCTCCGTGACTCACGATTTGACTTTTGCCTGATTTTTTGGCTCCAGGGACCACACATTCGCTCTATAACACGCACAGACATTTCCCCTTCCTTTTTAGGAGAAAAAATCTGCGTGTTATAGAGGGGAAAATACGGTATTTTTTCTCAGTAAATCCTGAACAAAATTGCACTTACGGTGCAATTCTATACATGTTTACTGAGAACCTAATGTTTACATTAGGTTATGTCCAGTGGGCATTACTGCCCATGGTTAGAGACATATGCCGATGCTGGAGAGTGTAAATGCAATAAGAAGCATAAAGCTAACAAAGTTGTGGGCATTTCTGAAAGTGAAAGTGGATGTCCACTTTTGTGTTGTTTAAGACTAGATAATGGCATAGCAGAAGAGCGCTAAGCCTCAAAAGCACTGAAAAGTGTGTGTGTGTGTGTGTGTGTGTGAAAGTATTGCTAGTTGCAATGTAAAATCAATGCCTGTGTCACTCATACTGTCACTTAGCATTCTGCAATTATGTGTTTTGCTGGGGAAGGTATCACATTTTCCAGATACACAATGTTGTCATCTTGGTGTGGTTAAATGTGATGAAAGAACAACTCTTGAGGAAAGGCATGGAGGCTGTGGACAACAAATGAATAACTATTTTGTGCATTCCTAATAAACCAATAACAACCATGCAGAAAGGCCCTTATTAGTATTAGTAGCAGCATTCTCTACACAGCCACATTTGGCCACAGGAGGCAACTGCATACCATTTGGGACTTTCTCCTGGGAAATATTCTATATATTTGGATATCAAGTTGGCTTTATAGCAGAGCTGTCTTTTTAAAGTAGATATAAAGCAGATCTTGTGCATGCTAATTTCCTAGCTTTATTGGGCAGGGAAGAGCTGTAGCTCAGTGATCTGTTTTGCATGCAGAAGTTCTTACATTCAATCCCCAGTATCTCCAAGGACAGCCACTGCCAGATGGACCAATGGTCTGACTCTGTATAAGTCAGCTTCCTCTGTACTGTAAAAAAATAAGGATTAATTCACATGTTCACTTGTGACCCTCTTTGCCTAGTAGACACCTGCATTTAACATGTGGGACAGATGTTTCAGAGACCCATCCATGTATACATCCTATTGTGCAATATTCTCTCTTCCCACCCTTTCTTGAGTGGGTAGAGTCATGTCATTGAGTCTTGGTGGAGCACCATGCTCACACTTTCCCTTAGGTGAATGTAGAAATATGGCACTGATTCACTTGCTCTTCTATGAAAAAAAGATAATTAAACAGGTCAGTGGATGAATCCGCCCATATATTCAATATGATCTCAGAACTAGTAAAGACACACTGACTAGATTTCAGCTGTTTTTATTAGCTTCTTTGACTGTTTTCAGCAACAAGGGAGCTATATTGTTTCATTGCTGTTATCCCTCATTTGGAAAGCTGAAGCAATATTGCTCAAATACAGATTGCCAGGAGAAGACACCCTAAGACACTGAAAATAACTTGTAGATAGCACCTGGGAGACCAGGGTTCAAGTCCCCGCTTGACCATGACTCTCACTGGGTGACTTTGAGCCAGTCACTGTCTCTCAACCTAACCTACCTCACAGGGTTGTTGTGGGGATTAAATGAGGGAGAGAACCATGCATACCACATTGAACTCTTTGGAGAAGTAGGTGGGATATAAGTGCAATAAATAAGTAAATAAATTATGACATGTTCACTTTAGAAGTGAACTGTTTAAATAATTTTGAACTGAGGCCTTCTCATCCTGAATGGCAAGTCAAGTTTTTATTTTTTTGTAAACC